GGCCAGAGGTCAGGGGGTGACAGGACCCACCAGAGACAGAGTAGGGAGCAGAACAGGCAGATCCACTGAAATCCACTGCTGAGGGGAACAGCGGGAGACAGGAGGGGTCTGCTGTGCCCTGGGGACACTCCCTGGCCAGGGATAGACTCAAGCTGCATTGGCTGCGGACAGTGTCATGGTGCTGAGTTTTAACCCCTTATGCCACCAGGGAAGCCTTAGTGAGGACCTTTTTACTCAAGTCAGATGCAGCTGACATGGTCTCCCTGGTGACAGTCAGCCAGGGACTCGGCGGTTTGGGCAAGCCTCCTGTCTGCCTCAAGCATGAGACCTCAAAACTAAAAAAAACAAGCCTTACACTCACTGCTCTTCACAGTTTCAAACTTGTACAAAGAAAACTTTTGCCTTGAGATTGTGCATCGTATGTGCCAAGAAGTAATCACTCCCATTAGTGATGGAGGTTTGTTCTTTTTTTTTGAGATATAGGATCATAAAAGAAAAAAAAGAATACCTTTGGCTCAGTAGTTTTTTTATGATGGATTTTTATGTGCTTTCTTAGAGAAAAGTTATAAAACTCGGTTCTTTCACTTTCTATCAAAGATATACAACATTTCCTTCTTTTTTTGTGCAAGTCACAAAGGAGCCATAACTGTATGTATTTTCACATCAGATGTAAAATTCATATCTCACTTGTGACTTATGCAAGAAAAATAGGAAGCACCATTAGAAAGACCCACAATTTGTCTGTGAATGGTGATTTGCAGTAGGGGAGTGCTTGCCTTTGAAATCATTAAATCTTTATAGCTAAGTATTCCTTCTGCCTTGACAGATTCTACATATTACTTTATCATTTGTATAAAAATGATCTTTAAAAAATACCTTTAATGACTTCCACAATGGCCAAAGTTCATCCAACACTTCCCTCACTTTCTAGAATTATGCTTGGAAGCACTTTTATCCTGTCACTTTGACAGCACATAACACAAAGCTCGTGTCAGAATTTCAATGTGTCTTCTTACATAGTCTTTTACTGTTATTAGCAGAGAGAGTTTTTGAGCCAAATGAATAGTGCCATCCTCCGTGTAACATTGACGAGGAAAGAAGAGCCTCTTTATTTCCTCGAGTTGCCTTGCTTATTCTACATGGAAATCAAATGCGTAGATGAACAGATATAATTTCAGCAGACTAAAATAGGGAGAAATATAACTGCGCTGTGCTGCACTGTCAAAACTGACGTTTTTATTCATCCTTTCAGTGTAGCTAAAACCCGTCTTCTTTTTAAGACACAACTCCACTTAGGGGTGTTTAGTAAAAAGAAAACCCCTTGATTCATTGTATTAATGAGATTAAAATCTCCCTCTACTCTCAGATAGTTTCTAAAACCCACATTGCTGCAAAATACGTACAAAGCATCCCTGATTACAAGTAAGTCATCAAAAGCAACAAAAATTGCTTGATTTTTCCTATTCAAGGACAACATAAATGAATATGGTGTATTAAAAGCACCTGTAAACAGCTAGTCCAAGCAGGAGGCCGAGGACTTGTTATTTAATAGCAGCTTGTATATGTCTTTGCTGTAGGAGTCTCCTTACAAACAAGTCTTCAGTCACTCTAATAGAGCTTTGCGAAATTTCAAACAACACAACAGAAAAAATATCAGGATACGAATCTTGAGGATACAAGAAAGAAAAAAAATGAGAGTAAGCGATGTTAAAATTTTCTTGATTTGAAGATGTCTTGCTGTTGGAGAAGATGCATACTTTTCATGAGCTTGCCAGTGCTTCCCTGAACACATGCTGCAAGGAGGTACACTCTACCTACAAGCCACTTGGAGTTTGTTCCACAGCCATCCCGCTGCTCTGCCTCGCTCATGCTCACAGGAGGATCTCATGACCAAAGGCTAAACGTGTGCTGGCTGGGGAATGTCTCAGCCTCGGGGCTGCTTCACATGTCTCCGTCCTGGGTTGTGTCCTCTCCTCTGGGCTGCAAATGTGTCTTCGGCTGCCCTGTCCTAACCCACGTCTGTCTGCACTGGGAGTCATCTGCATCGTCCCGGCTTTCTGCCAGGCAGCATCTGCCATGCCTGGCCTCTGTATGAGGAGCCCAAGAAGAACACTGTAGTCCCAGGAAGCTAAAAGAGACAGCAGGGTGGTGAGAGAGGCTAAGGTAACTGAGGCACATGGGGCCGACTGTCAGGCAGGAGAACGATGCAGAGAGTGACCCCCTGAAATCTGCACTGGGGTCTCCTCGTGCAGGTGGCCAAATAGCGATCTGTGTGTGTCGGGTGAGATTTCACACCCTTACAGGTACTAATAGGAAGAAAAAAAGCATCAAGGAGCTAAAAAAAAATCTGGATACACAAAGTCAAGAGCAATTCAAACTCCAAGCGAGGGATAAAACATTATTCAAAGAATGGGTCATTCAGCAAAGATCCTGAAGAGGACAAGCGCTAGGAGTGAGGTCAATCTAGAATACAGACAAGCCTCAGGAAGATGAAGCAGAACTACAAGTAGATGAGCTGAGTATCAGAACAAAATATTAAAAAAAAAAAAAACTAACGAGAAAGAAAATAAATCATGAAAGAGGGTGAACATCAATTTATATAATTTGATGCATGAAAACATTAAAAAGAACCTCACCTTTATCTTACTAACTGAGGGAAAAGCATATGAACGAATTTAATATGCAGGGGAATTTCTGAACAGTGTAGGCTTAGAAGGAAGCCTTCTTAGTCAGACAAAGGAGACCTACGAGAAGCCATATCCAGCATCATCCTTAATTGAAAAAGACTGAAATGTGTCTCCTGTCTTTTTTCCTCTCACTTCCGTCCAGTTTGTAAAGGGCTCTGAGTGAAGTAAGAGACAAAACAAACCAAAGTGGCTTAGAGATGAAAAGGGGAGAAGTAAAACTGTCTATGCAGATGCCACACAGGGTGTATGTAAGCTATTTTACAGATGCTACCAAAAAAGGAAAAAAAAAAACTAGTATTTAGGAATAAACAAAATATGGTAAGACCTACTCACCAAGAGACCGCATAACACTGCTGAGAAAAATGAGCCAATATCTAAATAGATCAGGATCTTCTGCACCAAAATGCAATAATGTCCATATGACTAACCCCTTCAAACTGATGGATGAAGTTAATATAATCCAGTCAAAGCCAAAAGAGACTTATTTTTAAAGGAATTAGTTACTTCTAAAATTTATGTTCAAATTCACAGAACATAGGATAACAAAGGTAATTTGCTAGAAAAAGAGCAAAATAAAAGATTTGTACACTTCATTTCAATTTTTTTTTCTGAAAATAGTAATAAAAAGGTGAGGGATTGACATGACAGGTTTAAAGATGAATGGAGAGGAGACAGTTCAGAAATAGACCCACATTCTAAGGTCAATTAGTTTGTCGTAAAAATGCCAAAGAAGTCAACAAATAGTGCAGTAACATGTGGCTCTTCGTCTTCAATAAAATTGAAAAGACTGAATATTTTCAAGGATTTATTTTCAAGGATGTAGAACAACTGGAAATGTTACACGTTGCTGATAGAAATATGAAGAATTAGAAATTAGTCTGGTGGTTCCTGCTAGTCAATCATTTTTCTTACCATCTAACCCAGAAATTCTACTCCAAGTTATTTACCCAGGAGAAGTGAAAACTTGTGTCCCCCAAATCTTGCACATATATTTAAGTAAATTCAAAGAAATGTGGGGTGTAATTAGTAAAATCTGAAATCAGACGAGCAGCAGCCGGCCGACGTGTGTAGATGAAGTCACGTAGCTCATTTGTGTGTCGGTAAGATGCGCAGCGATGAATGAACGGTTGGTACCACGCAACCTCGAGGAGTCTGACAAATCTCGGGCAGAGGGACTGAAGCCAAAGTAAAAGAGTATTTGTCAAGATAGATGACAGTCTGAGGAAGGACACAGTTCTCGTAAATCACAGAAGTCAGGTCGGCCGGGCAGGGCGAGCACGAGAGACCCTCTGAGCTAAGCAGTGATGTCTGTGCTATCGAGGCGATGGCTCTGTATGCCTGGGAGGTGCCCGGGCGGCCGTGGGGAGGGCTAGCGCCAAGAAGGTGGGGATGTTTCTTCCCCACGTCATATGCAGTGCCGAACACAAATGTTACATAAAGTAAATAATTTCCTTTAGATCACTAACCAGTTCTGGCACAGAGTAAAAGAAGGCGTTATTCCAAAGTGTCAATTCAGTCTTCGTGGATATCGTTTGGGTGTAAACAAACAAGCAAAAGGCATCAACTCTTTGACCCAGCAACTTTCCATCCATTGCAAGGGAACATTCAGAAAACCAGGAGCATACAAGGGTGTTCACCCTGGAGTTGTTTGCAGTAGTGAGCGTTGCTGTCACTCCTGTGAGGTGATTAGTGGGAAAAGAGTCTGTGGTTCCAGTGATGTGTTTAGCAATGCGAGAAGCACACGCAAAGCCCTTTGTCATCTCAAAGGGAAAAAAAACCCTAGCAGACCACACAAATAAGGGAAGACTGCCGAAGAGGCGGCATTTAGCACAGGTCTCAGGGTTAGCAGGATTTTACCAGACGTGACTGGGAGCACAGGGAAATGTGTTTCTGGGATGCGGGAGGAAGTAGTGAGAAAGCAAACAGAAAAAGTAAATGGGCCCAGAGCATAAAGTGCTTTACTGTAGATAATAGTGAGTAAACCAGTGAACAGAACTGAGATGCTAGAAACAGATTTGAGTATGTAAGGACCCTTTACGACGAAGACAGCACCCCAAATATTGTGGAGAAAAGAGAAAATACAGTCCATGTATTCAAGTGTATCAAAGATGGTCTCTCGATTGCTTTCCCGTGATAGGATAAAGAGCCTGTCTCCCCTGAAACCTACCCAGCAGGCAATCCCGGCAGGGCACGCATCCACCGGCGTCTGGCCCGTAATGGGGATTCCTCTTTGTTGCTGAAGTGACCAGATAACAGAACCGGGGTTCCTCATAGTGGAGTGTGTACTAATGATAGGTTTGCTTTCCCGTGCAGCCCAGTTCCGACCATCTCGTGGATGAAGGTGAACGGGTATATCCCTAGTAAGGCCCGTCTGCGGAAGTCACAGGCTGTGCTGGAAATACCCAACGTGCAGCTGGACGACACGGGCCTGTATGAATGCCGAGCCGAAAACACTCGAGGGAAAAACTCCTTTCGTGGACAGCTGCAAGTGTACAGTGAGTGTCCCCGCCCGGCAGTGCACCCCGCCCTCGAAGTCGAGGGGAGATGCGACTTAGTTTCAGCCAAATGCCGTTTGCTAAGTACGCGGAAAGCTAGCGATGATCCAGACGCTTACATCTCTTGCAGGGTAAAGCGTCGTGTAAATCACTGCGTGCACAGAAATGCTTTAAATGAAACATGAATGGGGAAGTACCAGGCTCTTTGTACAGCGTAGAGTAATAGCCTTGAAAATGAGCCATCCCTAGCACCGAAGCCACCCTCTGAAAAATTAAAAATCGCGTCACTTTGCCTTCTTATCACTCCCCTCGCCTGAGCCGGGAATCTCAGTGGATCGCGCATGGGCCGACTCCCACCCCACCATCTTTTTGGCAAATGCAATTCGGCTGGCGCATTGCCGCGCCCGTGGGCATCCGTGTTGACTTTGTCCACGTTTTGCATCGCTAGGGCAGAGTGAAGTGATGAGACCAGCTGACTTGCAAAGCTTAGGGTAGCTGCTCTCTGGCTCTACAGAAAATAATTGCTGACCGCTGGCCTGAATTAATAGCTCCGTGTGATAAATGACCTCCCCAGCCCGCAGCGCTTGTATTGCCAAGACGCCCAAGGCCCAGAGGCTGCGGTAAGAAGTCGCAAGTCTGACCCGGACACAGCTGCCGCGTGGGCGCTGCCTCTGGGGCCACGGTGCAGCTGCCCTTCGTAGTTGCGTCCACCACCTACACTGTAAAGCCGGTAAACGAGTTTTCTGGACTGTGCTGGCCCAGGACACGGAGGGAAACCAATGCTATTGCTTGCCCAGGACGGACTGCACGTGTCCGACTCAGGCGGCCCCGCCGAGCCACGACGTCAGTGTACCCCAGCTCGGAAGGACTCGTGGAGGGTATTTTTGAAATACTGCTGTCTGACCCCAACCGTGTTTCCGCTCCTCTTCTCTCACAAGGCCTGGAGGACTCAGCACCTCCCCCAAGTCGCCCGTGCCGGGCACACGGAGTCAGGCACTCCCCGACGCCACTGCTGTCCTCTGGGGGCCTGCCCTGTCCTGCAGGCTGGCACACAGCTCCGGGCACCCTTGCGGCCTGCTGGCCGGACGAGCAGCCCCGAGCTCTAGGCTGCGACGCAGGCGGCTCCAGGCCGGGGTGCACGCCGCTCCCCGTGACAGGGACGCGCTCCCTGGGGCGCACCTTGGCGCCTGTGCAGCGCATCCTCAGAGTCTCAGGCGCTTGACAGCTTGCAAGATGGGAACACGAGCACCCGCTCGGCTGTTTTGGGCCTGAACGTAATATTTGACTCAAATGCACAAAACCGACCGCTCAGTCTCTTACCACTGAGCTCACACTCTGGCCATAGGAGAAAGCAGGTGTTTTTGTCCCCCAATGAACGATGCTTCACACTCGAATACAGGCCATCAGGTATCCTCACAGTCATAATGTGAAGTGGCGGGCCTCCCAGGTGGTGCATGGGCTAAGAATCAGCGCTAGCAAGCTATCACCAGCCACTGCGGCCTGAGTCCATCCCCGGCCAGGGAGGGACCCCAGGGCTCGCAGACCCCTCCTGTCTCCCCGCTGCTCCCCGCAGCAGTGGGTTTCGTCAGTCGGCCTGTTCTGCTCCCCACTCTGTCTCTGGGGAGTCCTCCCCCCATACCTCTGGCCTGCACCCCAGCTCTTGCGTGCATAAACTTAAAGCAATGATAATGTGCAGTGCTGTGTTTCCTCTTCACGGATAAGTCTGATACTGAGAGACAATGTTCGATCAGAATTTTGCTGCTACAACCACACTCACACACACATGCACGGATGCCACGAAAGCCCGTTCTCTCAGGCCACGGTGAGACCTCCCTGTGTGATGAGATGTGGCCCACACCCACACAAGCACCAGGCCCCGCGGGCTGGGACAGAACCACGCCCCACCATGGCACCGGCCACTGGCCGCTGGCCGCTGGCCACCCCCCTCCACAGCTCCATCTTCGCAGGTGGTGACGGACGGTGCCCTGGAAATGAGACCGCAGTTGCTTTCTACAGTATCATCAGAGCCTTGTGCCAAGAAGGCTGGGGGCCTCCGGGGGCCCGGCTGAAAGTGCTCCCCGGGCGCTGGAGAGGACAGTCTGCCCCGAACATGCCTTCCTGTGCGTGGATGGTCACCGTCCAGGCAGAGACTGGGCCAGCTTGGCATGTGTTTCTGCAAGTTGGAAGGTGGACAGAAGATGTGTGCTTTTCTCCACAGCCCTTGTGGGTTTTGTCCCTTGTGAGTTTTTCCCTGATTTGTCCCGAGTGGTGCCAGTGTGGCCTTACTTCACTCCCAGAAGTACGCTGTTCCTTACAAATGCATCCGGTCACTGACG